TTTGTGATCATAAGTGGGCGGCGCCACGGCCATTATCCAAAAATATTTTTTTATTTTCACTTTTAATTCAACATATTTTGATTAAAAGCGAAATTCTGATAAAAATGAAATATTTCACACAAACAACAAAAAATATAATCGATAATCGCATGAGGCTATTGCCTGAAAATTTTAAATTGCACTTAGTGGCATTGTGCTACTATGATAGCACGGCTAAGTAATCATAGTCGACTTATGTACAGTAGACTGCATCACTCCCGATACAAAAAAAAAAAAATCGGTACTGTTTTTCCACTGGAATTATAAAATCTATTATATTTTAAGACTTCCATCAAAATATCTCGCAGAAATATTAAGATTTCCGTGAGCTGCACCGATTTGAAAATACCTCTAAAAATTGAGTTTTTTTTATTAATAAAAAGTTTTCTTCTCAAATATTTTTTGAAAAAATTACCTCAGATGACTAAACAGTTTAAGCTTAAAAAATTTGCATAAAAATATTAAAAACAAATTTCTACAGAATCATGATGAGATTTTTGATGCTGTTTTTGTCCCTTTTACAAATACTGGTTTAAGAAAAACTTAAATAACCTTAGAAATTTAGACTTATCGGGTATCATTGGTAAGGTATTTTCTCACCCTTTTAATTTCCTTGCGAATAAGCTCATTCAAAGTATGAAAAAGGAAGGTAAGATAAACGCATGTCATTCCATGGTGAATTAAGATGTGTTGGTATTTGGTAAAGAAAATTTGGGACGTGAATGAGTTTTGTGCAAAGCTAATGATTGCAATATCTAATATCTAATATCTAATATCTAATATCTAATATCTAATATCTAATATCTAATATCTAATATCTGATATCTAATATCTAATATCTAATATCTTGTATCTAATATCTAATGTCTAATATCTAATATCTAATATCTAATATCTAATATCTAATATCTAATATCAACTATCTTTCCCCACAGCCTTTTGAAGGCACTAAAAGCGAACGCCTTTACACCAATTCAGACACATCTAAAGGATTGAAGGAATGATCGCGCAGAATCCTTCTGTTAAGGATCTCTTCTACAAGTCTCTCATTTTCTATTAAAATAGCCGAAAACATAGTTAATGCATTCATTATTCGTTTTTGTATCCAAAAATTTATTATTTGTTTTGGTTAAATTCACAGCTATCAGCTATTAAGTTCATTTTTACCTATTCATCATCAGCGTTAGTTCATTTTTAGGGTGAATTAAAAATCAAGTTCTAAAAAGAACAATAAATTCGGTTTTCAGAACACCAAAACCAAATTCACTTGTTTTAGATTCATTTACATATTCACTTTCACTCGGAATCTAAAACCTGCCTGAATAAGAGTAGTGAGCACCTGCCCTGCTGATGCACTCAGTGACTTCGTTAGAAAACTTCCCATCCCGATTACAATAAGTAGAGAGGAAGTCGCGACCGCGGCATTAAGCACCCTAAACACCACCGACTTAAAAACCTATCTTTTACAAATCCAAAAACCAAGGAATATTAAAAAACTTGCTTGTGCGGAAATACCTTCCCGAAGTGTTTTCTTAATTACTTTGAATATAAATACCCGAACAAATATAGTTTATTTTCGATCTTCCAGTCCATAAACAGAGGTAATCTATAACTGAACTAATTGTGGAAGTTTGAGAAATAGGGTTTTCTGGTCACAAAAAAATTAAGTCACCACGGCAGCATTGGGAATTCTAAATATCCCGATTTGAGACTCGGAAATGCGACGGGACGTATTGAGGTCCTAAAGAAATTTTCTAATAACTACCGGTGCGCGATGCGAGCTATTCGTTGCAGATCGAACTCTCTGGAATACAAATAACCCATACACCAAACCTTATGGAACGGTTTGGCCTATAGGTGGGTGGAAACTTCAAAATGGAAATACTTGGCTTGCTGCCCTAAATATAATTTATCTAGCAGATATTCATGCAATTGTGGAAGAGCATGTCTTAGAAGAGTCACATCGACCTCCTTCAACCAGAATTTTTATTTGGTTTCAACAAAGTTTAGTTGCAAGAACAATTGTGAAATATCATTAATCTGCTAACAGAGAATATAATAATTTATTGCGTTAATATTAATAAAAACGACCATGTAGTTCCTCTTGATTTGAATGTTGTGTTATTGTTTTGTGACCACATCGCAATATCGAGTGTCAAACATGATTTTTCCGTAAGTTGTTGACTTTTTCTTTGGAGGCTGGTTTATATTCCCAGCGATGGCAACGACCCATTCTAAATTACACTAGTTAACAAATAACTTTTATTTGTGTATAATATTTTGGTGGCCCAAGGAATTGTAGGCGGCTGATATCTTTATGCAATACCTAACGGCCAATTTCTGATGCCATTTACTGTGGTGTTGCTAATTTGACTTTAGGTTAGTATTTTATTTTTATTTGCTTCAACTGGATATCAAAGCCAGTCTCCATAATTCCTATGCGTACGTAGACCTGTGTAGTTTACATTGGAAAACAAACTACGAAAATCATAGAGCGAATGGCGTACCATCTGGCAAAACTGCAGTTGAAAAGGGGTGGAGGAAACTTGTATTAAAACCTGAAATGAATGTACAATCGCTTAAAAGTGCATACCTATGTATTTAAGTATGTGAAACCCGTAAGTATATATGCATATATAGACAGATATGGTCAATAGATGTATGTACATATATGTATGTGAAATACATAAATCAACTAAATATATATATCTAAAGCGAAGCGCTCATTGGTTGTTTGGTGGCACTTTTCAATAGAATTGATTTATGATTGAGTTTTGCATGAGGCAACATTTTAATTGTATCTCTGAAATATGTAAGCTTTTAGTATATACATACGTACACATTCGTGCATATACATCACCGGCTTAGGCGTAGAACGCCCCGTGCGGGCGGTTGGCCGCAGGGGCGCAACGTACTACGCAAACTTCGACGCCACGTTTCTACAGAATGGGTGCAGAGGCAATTAAGCCAATAACTGAGTTTATGAATGTTTAAAAAGTGCGCTTAAATAAAATAAATAAATGCGTGTGGTCCCTACGCGCGGAGGAAGTCAAACTTCAGGGAAAGAATATACTCTTCATCTCTTATCTTCACCTTGATACTCACTTCATCTTCTCCTTCATCTTCATCTTCATCTTCATCTTCATCTTCATCTTCATCTTCATCTTCATCTTCATCTTCATCTTCATCTTCATCTTCATCTTCATCTTCATCAATCTTAATGTTTGTTTTTATTTGTATATTTGTCTTTCTCGTTGCCTTTGGTTACGCCTTTGTTTTTAACTCTGTTCGTACGTTCCATAATACTTATAATTATATTTGTCTATAGCTGTTGCCTTTGTCGCTCCCTACCGCAGTGGTGTTCAACACAGCCGTTCGTTTTATGGCCACGGATTCGCCGCGGTGGTAAATATTTAAAGCAAAAATCTGGAAACTTGACAAAGAAGTTTTGCTTCAATAAAGAAAAACTAATGCAACATTGTTTTACATCGAAAACAAAATTACATAATTTAGGTCTGCACCTATCTATCTATCGTGGTTTTAGCGTTTTTTATTAACGCAAAACGATTGGTACGATTAGTTTTTTACCGAATGGAGGTAGTAGTGGCGGGTTGTGAATTTTCTTAAAGCCTGGCGTTGACCTAATACTTGTACCAACACAGATAATGGCCGGGAGATTCGGTTTTCTTTTATGAAATACATATGCTTCAGTATTTCAAGCGAAAATGTTCTTCCATGAACGAAAATATGTGAATAGACACACATTTGCAGTGTTGCCACACAAAAAACTCCAGATTTAATTTTTTTATTTATGTATTTCCAGAGTGAAATGAATATTAATAGCCAATCGAAAATGTTTCAAATAATTTTAGCCAACCATAATTTGGCAGCAAAATTGTGGGTTAGTTGATTATTATCATTTTTTAATTTGTATTTTATTTTTATTTTGTAAAATGAATAAGGACGCCAAATGTATGACACATCCGGGCGCGTGGACAGCTAAGACCGGCCATGTGGATATGTCTATACAAGCAGATGCATTAGCCTCTTGGTGTGAATGAGTGACCACATCGACACTGACTGTGTTGGTGGCGGCGGAGGCGTAGTGTACGTTAAATACGTTGCCAGTACATTTTCCTTAGAGCATTGAAAGCAAATTTTGTTCGCGAAGGGGGTGGCATTTGTTTGAATATTAATGGGAATGGGCAAGACATTCGAAATAGAAACACACAACTTATCAAGTTTTTGTTGGTGTGAGTAGGCGCTGCTGACGGTGTCCATTGGGTGTACATCACTAAATGCTAATTTCGATGTCTATTCATTCAGTTGATCGCTCTGCACTACATACATACATATTTATATGTAGGTACTTATGTATGTATACAAATCGGTGTTGGTATGTATGAGTAGAAATAAATATCAGTGTGTGTGCGTGTTGCAACCAGTTGAGGGCAGGTTGTGTTGTTGCCAGCAATGAGCTGATATCGGGTGACAAGTAAGCACACTGCACACTACTGTCGAGCTGCCGTATTGGCTGCAACGGGGGTAGTGACGACTAAGCCAAGCGGCAAAGACAAGAAAGACATCATCAACACTTGGCTGAAGACAACTGGCTGCGGGCCGCATGGAAGGGGTGGTCCTACTCCCTTAACGCTGGGATTTTGCTGTTGTTGTTGAATTTAGTTAGTCATTTTTTTTGCTTATTTCACATGCACATTCGTATGTGTGTACATATATACATATGTATGTATGTATGCACATATATGCCCATTAATACAAAAGTATGTACATATATTTGCTTCTTTTTCCACTTTTCTTTTGTCTTGCTATGTTTTTAATTTGTCGCCTTCTTGCTTGTAGTGGTTGATAGTTTTTCAAGCGATTTTTTTCCGTACGTAGTAGACTACTTAATTTTTTTTTGCGGTTCTCGCCCTGCCAGTTTTATTTAGCTTTCCAATGATATTCTTCATTGGATGCCACAGTACCTCCGTCCGATTTCGTTGTTTTAGTTGCAGTTCTCCGCTCCACGCTACAAGTCGTATTTTCCTAGAAAGGATAATACAAACACAAATCAGCTCCGCGGGTCTTGAGTTGACGACACCGGTCAACGGTTAAATAGTCAAACTGTGTCCGATCATCCAAACAATCTACATATGAATACATGAAAATAGTGAAGGCAATAAAGAAAAGTTCACATACATATATGAGAATTTTCAAATTCTTTATACTCTTCTGTGCACAAAAAATTATTGTTGGTTATTAATATTAAAACAACTGCATGCGAATACATATATCCTTGTTGTAGTTTCGTTGCGTTTCAAACAAAAAGGATATGCGTTGGTCATGGTTACTATGAAATTCGTTCAAAGGTATGGGCAAGGCGAATGGATAAATACATATATATTCGAGAAGTATAGTGGATTTATTTAAGAAAAAAAAATTTAAACTAAGCGAAAATCATTTACGAAAACAATAATAACTAACAAGAATTAAATAAACAATGAAACTTGAAAACAAAATTTAAATGCCGGTCTATTACTTATGCATGTAAGTACATCTGTGCGTTTATTCAATGTGACGTGAGAAGTGTATTCGTGACAATCTGCATCGGAAATTAAAAAGAAAAAACATTTATAAACAAATTTATAATTAAATACACTGTGTAACTGTGTCGGCTAATTTTTCGAGAAAACTAGTAAAACCAGCGTCTAAAATTTTTTAGTACCCTTATAAGGTTGATTTTTGCTCCTACCAATAAAAAAAAATAATAATTTGTGAATTTTAAGTACAGTAATTTTTCCGGTCTGATAGAAATGAGAAAAAGGGTGGAGGAGTAGCCATATACNATTTAAACTAAGCGAAAATCATTTACGAAAACCATAATAACTAACAAGAATTTAATAAACAATGAAACTTGAAAACAAAATTCATCTGTGCGTTTATTCAATGTGACGTGAGAAGTGTATTCGTGACAATCTGCATTGGAAATTAAAAAGAAAAAAACATTTATAAACAAAATTTTAATTAAATACACTGTGTAACTATGTCGGCTAATTTTTCGAGAAAACTAGTAAAACCTGCGCCTAAAATTTTTTAGTACCCTGCAATTCTAAACATATCTATACTTGTACATTTGAGGGTACTGGGTAACAGACGCGGCATTCGCCGAGCTTCAAATAGGATCGAAACGGAAAGATCGTGTGGACGTATATTATAATTAATCCAAAGCATTGCACTATGGTCTGAAATTCAAATTTTTGGGCATAAATTAGAAGGAGTGGTACTAGGCCATTGAAATTTCGCATACAGGTTATATATGACTTAGTTAAGAAAAATTCCAAGAATGGATGAAATCGGTCATTCCCCAGGGGTACCTCCCTTGGACCTATAGTAAAAATTTTTGAATTTCAGCTCCAAAAATTGCGATATCTTCACGAAAATTGGTAAATATGTTATTCTCGTAATACGCATCGACGATACCAAAAATAGTTGAAATCGGCCAGTCCCTAGGAGTACCTCCCTTGGACCTATAGTAAAAATTTGGTTTCATAAAATGAAAAATTTGCATATGATAAGCAAAAGTGGTCAAATAATTTTATTATCCAAATATTTATACATATGTTTTTACTGAAACAATTATTTTTATAATAACATTGACTGTACATCTGAAATGAGAGAGAAGTTAC